GTAGAAGGTCATAGGAGATGCCCGAATTCACAAAGTTCCAACAAAATTTCCCTGTGCGTCGGCGGCCATCTTCAACTAATAGAAATTTTGTCAAAAAATTTATCTTTAAATTCTTAATTTCTTTCGTTCAATATTTTGTATTTTTTATGAATGATTATCAAATTAGGACTCTTAAAGATAAATTTGTTTAATTCTTTTTATCTCTTTATTCTCTCTCTCTCCGATCCGTATTAGTCCAGTAAAATAGTATCAAAAACACCGAATATCTACAAAACGGATAGACAAGCCAATTTTTTGAGGGTGAAAAAAGTATTTGCTACAACTTTTGTTTGAAAAATTTTTTTAATAGCTGTCAAGGAAAGAAAGTTACAACCAAAAAAATGCCGTCAATTTGGTGCGGAAAAATTTTAATGTACGACACAATTCACAATAAAAACGAGAATTTTCTCCACGAAAAATAGCATTTACTAGACATAGTAAACTTTGGCGCCCTCTATCTCTGGTATTTTTTGAGTCACCGCAAAAGCGGATATACAAAAATTGTAGAGAATTGAGTCCTCTACAAGTTTTATTTGAACATTGTTTTGATAAAACCAACAGAGGGCAATGTAATTGTCGATAAAAATGTTCAACCCCTAATTGACGGCATTTTTTTGGTTGTAACTTTTTTTCCTTGACAGCTATTAAAAAATTTTTCAAACAAAAGTTGTAGCAAATATTTTTTCCTACAAAATTAAAAAAAAGGAAAAAAATTCGACCAATAGGAGTCGAGATATCCAAACTTACCCCTATTTTGAAGATGGCCGCCGACGCACAGGGAAATTTTGTTGGAACTTTGTGAATTCGGGCATCTCCTATGACCTTCTACTCACCCTCAAAAAATTGGCTTGTCTATCCGTTTTGCCATTTTCAGATACTATTTTACTGGACTATATTTGCTTTTCAAAGTTCGGCTCTTTAAAAATATGCGTGATTTTCACTATATGTTTCAAGTACGCGATGTATGTGTGTATAGAGGCACGTGTAATACCGGTTAAACAGAAGCGGGAAAGAAAAGGTTCAATGAGATGAAAAGCAACGGGCGCTGAGAAAATTTTCAAGTGCCCTCAAGCATGCGACTGCATGCCGACACGTTCCTATGAATCATGATTCCGCATAGGCGTGGACGTGCGCTTTGCATTCTTTGCCGTCTCTCCGGCGCTACGACGAAACCCGCGTCGCATAAAATCTGCATCGCGGATGAGAGAGAATAACACGGGGAGGGGACATTTCTAGCGAGAGGGCGGAGGGGGAGGCACAATTGACGGTGGAGTCGATAATATCTTTATGTTACGGCGATACCCGAGTGATACTTTGCGACGAATTAGGGTCAATTGCACCGGCGACATCTCCGGTCAATTAACTCTAACGATTTCCTGTCCGTTCGAGAATCGGCTTAGCTATATAATATTAGAATGATTTAGCTAATATTTTTTATTTCTACTTTTTATAATCTCGCTTGTAAGGAATATCCAGTTATGAATCAATACGACTTGATTCTATCGCGATAAAATAAATAAATACAGAGAAAAAATGCACGCGCCAGAGCACACGTTAAAATAAGATGTCTTTTGAAAAAAAGATGGGATATCGAACTCTAAAATTTCTTTTTACGCTTATTTTTTTGTCACGAATGAATTCCTTTCCCAACAATTTTTCATTCTCTTCTCATATGGCGGAAATATAATTATATCGATATAAATTCTAGAATTACACGTGATAGAGCGTGGCGGCGATAATATTGCATGCGTATCGAATGTCCTTCTTTCCAGGCGTATTAAAGGAGGATTATAAGAAACGTTTCCGTGCAGCCTCGCCGGAGGCTAAAGACGGCGGCGGAGGCTACCGTTAACTGGCTGATATCCAAAGTTCGGGAAAGCACGGGAAAGAAGACGAACAGTTGCACCGTCCGGTGCGACTCCCGGCAATTCCTTCGTTCTGAAAACCGATCACGCGCGGTTTCGCGCTGGAAAATCTCGCAGCGCGCACGGCTAGAAAAGGAGAAGTGCCTGCGCACACACAACACACACACAACACACACACACACACACACACACACATACAAACATATACACACACGCGTATATGCGGCTCACGTAGCCGCGGCGACAAGTGCAAGGACCGCGCGTGTCGCGGCCGCTGCACCCCGGAATTCCAGGGTGTCCCCCCCTTTATGACTCTTATCTGTTCCCGGAGGTGCACCCGGAAATGCGCTAAGCACTCCGGGAGGTGCATTCCGAAGCGCACGCCCAGGATAAAAAGACATCACTGTTACGAAGGTTACGAAGCGACTGCCAAAAATAATATGCCGCGGTGAAAATGTCACGTGTGGGAATGACGGATTTTTTATCGACAAAGTAAAACTTATTTTTCAAATCGAACAAAAATTTACGAAGCTGAGAATAAATTTAAGAAGAAAAAGGGTAGTTAATTTCTAAAATTGGAATAAAATAAAATAATGAAAAAAGTGGTCTCTCGATAATTAGATGGATGAATTTATTTATGCTGAGATCAATCGTCTTTGAGGATAGTTCAACTAACAATAAATCGGAAAATGCAAAAATATAAAACAGTACAAAATTTATTTATCGTGTATCTTAAAAATATATATTTTAGTTACTAATATACCTTACATACTTAGGAGAAATTAATATTAAAACAATAAAAAAGCAGATATATATGATATTGTATGGAGAAAGCGGAAAATATATTCATTATAAGATTTATGTAATTTAAAATTTCGAATCTCGATATTGAAATGCAAAATAAAAATTAGGAGAATAAATATTAGTTTCGAAAAATAATATTTCTATATTCTGTTATACATATTCACTGTTTTCGTTTCCATTCCGACATCGTAACGATGCTATCTTTGATTGTGCAAATCTCGCAATATCGCGCTACAATGAGATAATTGACGCAAATATAGCAAATGAGACAAAACTAACAGCGTTGCCCTGCTAATATTTGATCTGTGATAACGAGTATCACACAAAACATGCGCAAACATTGTATTGTTAGATAAGAATCGCGAGATTCAATTAAATTGATGATTCCATAGAAAATTGGAATATCTGCTCGATTAGAACATTAGTTCACATTTAATCTCCGTATACTAACAACGTTGCAACGTTCTTATCAGCTACTCAGATTAAAGATGTATTAAATTAATTTATTGCAATTTTTTTAACAAGTTTTTTATCAAGCAAGATGTATTGAAATATCGTTTGTGGCAATATTTTTTAACAAGATTTTTGTTCTTGTACTCTTATCGTAATTACTTTCTACATTTTACAGCAGATATATTTTATTGTATATTCTTACATTCTTTACATATATTATTCCCTATATTGTATTCGCGTTAATTAACTAATATCGACATTTCTCAATGGAGAACGAAATTGTAACGTGTACGCAATCATTCAGTTACCGAAATGAGAAATCAAGGAGCACAATTTATTACGGTTTCCCTGCTTTCATGAAACGAGGATAAAATGACCTACATTATTACCCGACTATCCCCCTATCTCGTCGTGCGAATGATAACATAGCGATCGCATTTCGTATAACAATAACATGTTATGTAGCCGAATATTGTTTACAGCGCTATTGTTTACATACGGTGGCTTTATTATCATTCGCACAGTGAGACTCGAGCGAGAAGGTAGCGTCGTGAGGTGCTCCGTGTGTCGTATTATTTCTCAAAGTACGATCGGGAGTATTAAGAGATACCAAATCTATCATTCCCTACGAACAATTCAAGATTGTCACGAATAATTAATTTTCGCCATTATCGCGGCGGAAGTTATAAATAAAATGCCGCGGATTCTGGTGATTAATACGCGCACGATCACAATTAATCGTGTTTTCGCAAGTGAGTGCGAATACGAATGTCACAGTAACGAATGAAGCAGTAAAGGACAAGCAAGAGAGAAGAAAGAAGAAATCCAATGAGGCATCGAATGACGACATGTAGTGAGTAATTTATAATTTTTTTTATTTATTATTTGTTCTTTCTACTAATTTATTACTCTAATTTCAACAAACCTTAAAAAAGTCTTTATATATATACAGGGTGTCCTAGACCACCCGTACACCCTTTTTCTTTCAAAAACTAAGCATTTTAGAGAAAAACGTTTTGAACAAAATAATCAAAAATACATATAAATTATACTTATTGGTAATAAATTAGAGAAAGTATTAGCAATAAATTAATTAAGACCATACATTCGAATTTGGTTTCTCGTGATGGATATGATAAAATTGTCCGAATAAAAATCGTTTTAAGATTAGACTTGTTAGAAAAGATTTATAGAACAAAGCGTATAAATCGACAAATATTTGTGCGCTCGTGTACGATCAATTATCTTTTGTCAGGTGTATCGAAAGTCTATCTTTGATGACTGATCTCCGGGCAATGTTGCACAAGGTCAAGCTGTTGTAAAAACTCACAAAGATTATCCAAAATATTTCACATTCCTCGCACTCAGGTAAACCTTTTCTAATAAAGTGAAAATATTTATGAATAATATTTTAAAAGCGAGTAGGTTATATTTAAAAGACATCGTAAAACGAATAAGAAATTGATGAATGAAACATCTTGGCGAACAATGGCATTGGAATGCAAGTGTCATGTATTCTTTTCTTTTTAAAAACCCCGACGAAAGGCTCCAGAAGGCTCTCAAGGCACGTTTCTCCTAGAATACACAAAAGATTTCGAATGCCGACATTCGATAATAATTACACAAGCGACACACACCGGTTTTATGAAATTGAACGTTTCGTCCTCGAAACTGTCCGGATAATTGCCGCTTTCTCGGAATTAGAAGCCGCGTATTTTAACCGCGTGCGTGTCCCAGTTGAGTCTCAATCATTCGACACACTCAACTTAATACTTTACACAGACGAGGCAGGAGTTTACATTGTCGACAATAATGTCGACAATGACTTAGGCGACTTACGGTGTCTTTCACCCTCCGAATGAAATCGCTGGCGTTCTTATCCCTTCGTCACTCGGTATGTCACGTACGATCTGGCTCGAATAATTCGTTCGTTTTTCCGTGTCGACCACCGGCAGCGATTATTCGAAACGATCGCCACTCATCTCATTCATTTCCGCTAATTATCGCGCAACCGGATAAAGTAGTCACTCTTCGAGAAAATCCGTTTCCTCGTAATAATAGTGTCACAACCACGTGACATGGTAAATTGCACAGTGACGCTGATTACACTACACTTTCGCAAAACGAGGAGTATTTAAAGCAGGTTTAGATCGTCCTCGTAATACAAGTATCTGGTATAAAAAAAAGGACTAATCGTCAAACGGATAAGAACTACCGAATATTTTGAAACCACTCTTAAATCACCTAAGTAAGAAGTATATCAAATCACTGTGTGTCGAGCACAAAATTTTGAAACGAGCGATGTAAATGCTTTATAAATGCGCCGAGATCATTATCGACGCGTAATAAAGGAATTTTAATCACCCGCGTGCGACGCAGAATAGAAAGAAATTCGAAACATTATACGCACATCACGTGTATGATAAGGAAGATAACGGACAGCAGCTGTTGCTTTTTATCGTTCGTCCGTTGCTCCGATCGATTCGTGGAGCAACTTGGTATCTTCGTAACTTGGATCTATTCACCGACGAAAAATATCCCGCTGTGCAGGAGGAGAGAAAAATGCGTGCGCGACGTCGTGTCGCCACCCGAGTAGGTCTCGGTACCCGGCCAGGTAGACGGGCCCTCGGTATAGGCGTGCAGCCTTCGTCGCTCGAGCAACAGGTAGATACTAGCGGCCGTGGATGGGAACGGAGCTAAACGGAGCGAGCGTGCCACTCGGATGGCTCGGATCGAGAGTGCCGAGAGCGGAGCGGTCGTTAAGTCGACGTTCACACCGACTACGTCGAGTTGATGCGTCGGGTCGCGATAAGCGAACATTCTTATCTGTCGTTTTATGTCGTAGGACGAACATTGACACGTGACGTCTCGGTTCGGGAATTAGAAGTATGGTGTGTGCCGATGTGTAACGATGGGAATATTTTCTTTTTTTTTTTCCAATATGTAGAATCTATTTTATTATATTATTATGTAGGAAAAAATAAAAAAAAAATTTCCACTGAAAGATGTTTTGAAAATTGTGAAAATGATATAAAAGTAAGGCTCTTACACGATTAAAATCAAGTAAAATCCGAGTAAAAAGGCAAAAGAGCCGCGCGCAGTTTTTAGGGCGCAAAGGTATATAATTTAAACCAAAAAATAAATTAAAAAATTAGAGAATTTCTTTAATTACATGATTCGCGAATGGCGGACGTTTCGGCCCTTTTTTTGGCCATCCTCAGCGCAAATAGTACTAAATTAAACTATAATCGGTATACATAAAAAATCTTAATCAAGCGCAGAGTTACATGGTGACCAACGGTAGAAGGCGTGATCCCTCATGTCGCTCCAAAGGCAAAACCATTCTCCATGTAGTCCATGTTATTTCGGGGCAGAAACCTCGATTCTTTAAGCATGAATCCACGAACATGGTGATACGTTAATAATTGTGTCTGTAATTTGCGCGGAATGGTTTGTGTCAAAAAACGAGAAGAGAGAGAGGGTCCGTGTCGAAATTACAGTAGTAAGACTACATAAAAGAGACGCAACGCACAAGTCGACAGCAAAAATTTTTCAGCAACGCAAAATCTTAACTAAACTCACTAACTAACAACAGAGTAATGAGACGTATTGTTCGGCGAAAAAGGTGAGATGATAAAAACAAATGTTACCAATAGCGGTAAACAACGATACAAAAAAAAAATTAGATTGTCAAAACAGTAAAATGAAAAACAATATCAGCATTGTCTGTAGTATAAAATCAAAGTAATAAATAAATAAATATATATGAAAACAGTCTAGACAAACTATCCAAAAAATAAAATAAAAAAACAAACTTTTTGTCGTTGTAAAAAGGTGTTAGTCAAATTAAATAGATAAATAAAAAAATAACATTTAGAAGGTTGTCAAGTACAATAAAATAATTGTGAAAATGAATTATTATGTATAGAAAATTATGTAAAATATAAATATAATATAAATTACATAAAAATTATATAAATCAAATATTACAATAGAATATATATGTTATATATATATATTGATTGTATGATAGTTTCTGTGCAAAATCTATGCAGCTTATCTCTGCCGTTCGCTTATAGTAGCCTACTTATAGTAATGAATCTCGATTATCTATGCGACTAAATGCATAAGGCGGAAAAGATCCATTCAGAGATTCCGCGTAATATGGAGATTGGAGTTAAATCGAATGACAATTGCGTAATACGTTTGCAGTTACAGTTATGTCAATCATGATTAATCATTCGAGTATTAAGGCATTATATAAATACATCGCGAATCGATGCGCATGTATGACAAAACATCATCGACAAAACATTTTCGATAGCTCTTAAAGATATCTGCAAATTAATCTGCCGCTGATGAATTTTTATTCGATAACTCAATCTTGTAGCGTATGTGCAGAATATTATTATGCATTATGATGCAATATAATCAGATGCTAGATACAAGACAGATTTTATCTTATCATAATATAAATATAATGGCATAAATTAAAATAAAACAAAATTTATTTTTTTATTAAATAATCAGTTTCCTGTAATAACAAGCTTTTAAAACTGACTGATGATGTTTCCCCTGGAATGTAAAATCTAATTAGGCTATATAAAATCCGTAAATTATAAACACGTCAAAATTATATATCCAACGTAGGATTAACGCGTGACTTCTCCATTCTCTTTTATCCTTTAAAATCCTCTTATCAAGCGCCGACCTTTGACGATTGACAGAGAAAAGGAGGATAATCTTCGCTTCTTTTTCTTTCTGATTTATTTGAAATTTCAACTTTACAAATGCGTTTTAAGACTCATAATTCTCTCAATCCTTTCGATCAGAGATACCGTCAAAAAAAAAAAAAAAAATCCGTATTTTCACAAAACTAAAATCTTATTTGCCCCATCTCAAGAGATTGAATTTATCTCCTCGTCGACTTTTCAAACAAAAGTACATACCAGATATTCATACTTTTTCGAGGGTTATCTCCTTATATCGTATACAGTAGTTTCGGATAACGCTCTTTCTCTAATCACTAGAAGAACTGTTAATCGCCGATAAGAAAGGTGCCATTGTACGCGTATAAATCGCGACTCCCTTGTCAGTGTGAACGCCACCGTAAAACGTACGCGCGGGTGGAGGGGGTTCGATCGTCGCAATGAATTACAACGAGCCCAGTCACTGTGTGAATGACTCACCGAGATACTCTAGTCGCCGCTGCTGCTGCTGCTGCTGCTGCACAGCGTGCGCGTCACGCGCCGATAAAAGGCTCTCTCTAGCTCTCCTTGCGCTGGAAAGAGGAATTTGAACCGCCGAGAAGGGAAGTGAATAACCATGGGAGAGCCTGAGGGGGCATTAGGATGCCTGGGTCCCCCGGCGAGGGGGAGGCAGACTGGTTCAACCGCGAATTATGAATCATCGAAATACCATACCTGTGTGTCTAAAGCGCGCTAATAATCGTCCGAGTAAAATCCAGGGGGGGCTAACGGAATCTTCAGCGCGCGAGAATAGTCGAGAGCCGCAGATTAGCCGGGGAGGGGGAGGGGTGGGAGTGATTACAGCGATGACGCAGGCGCTTATGTGCTATGTCGTGAATTCGGTTGTAAAAGAGAGAATGATAAGTTACATTTCTTCTCTCTTTAGTCACTTTCGAAAAGTTATTTCAAAGATGTTGTTTCCGAAAAAAGGGAGAGATAATGTAAATCTCCGTTAAAATGTCATTTGATTGTTATGAGATACAGCGAGTAACTTCGAAAATATTATCACTCCTAGAAACAATTTCTTATCACAAATAGATCTTCGACAATCTATCATATATGAGAGAAGGATCTTAATTAAAAAAAAAAAAAAAAGAAATAAAAAATTGTTTCGGAAACATTCGACAAAATAAGGGAAAATTTTACTGAATAAAATGCAATATAAATCAGCGGCCTTACATAAAATTACCACACATGTAACTCTGCGTATACATCTCGCTTATTGGAATTTAATTATGATTATGATTAAATTATTGCATATCTTACGGAATATTTTCGAGATATGTACGTACGAGAAAATGTCGGACACGTATGCGGTATTCGCTAATTAGCAGTCGAAGGGTTAATGCAACAATTCGTAAGCGGCGCGTGTTTCTGTCCGTTCGGCCCGACGCGGCATTAATTACGTTACACAAACGTACTGTTATATTTAGCGGCGCCGGTATGTGCATACATCGTGCATACACATGCGGGATTTTCCGATGAACCGTACGCGGCACGCGAATTCCTGCAACGCGAATATTTGACGCTCTTATGCTGTCGAGGACACGCATAATGCCGTAAGAGAAACACGCCTCCTCTCCTTCAGTATGGATAGGTTACTCAAGGCCAAAGAAATTTGCCACTCGAGCTGGTCGATTTTTATATGTGACGAAAAATTGTGTAATAAAGCCCGCAACTCGATTAAAGCCTTTGCGTTTTACACGCGAACCTATTCTAATCTTATAAATATATTTTTGAGTCTGTATATATGTGTATGCAGAAAAATGTTTACCGCATATTATACGATATACTTTCATTGTATTATTCTGTATTTGGAGACTTAAATCGCTGAAAATAAATTGACATGAATGTCGCTCGATTTCGTTCAAATAAATTCATTATTCCGCTTTAAATTATTAATTTTCTATTTGCGCGGAAGTTCTTAACTCGAGAGATCGATGCATCGAGTGCGTAGCGCTCTTAACTCCGATACCATCTTGTATGTACCTTTCACCGGCTTCGATAAGGAATTATATTTAAACCAACGACACGTAACGTGCGGCGCAGCAGCCGGGAGGAATGAAGAAACCGCGCGCCTTTATCGCGATTTATCCGCGTTCGCGGAATGCAACGTCGTAATTGCGTCAAATAGAAGGACATATTGCGCTTCTCTCTCCGCGATTACACACTTTCTTTGCTTTTCTTTATTTATATAATTGAGAATGCGCACTTAACGCGCGAGCATTGGACTAGAACAATTGTTTTCTCGTTTCTTATTCTCGCGGCAATTAAATACATTTTTATAAAAGCAATAGAGGGTAACACGGGCAACATTGCATAGAATGTTCTCCCGCTATTATTCTCGGCAAACTAAAATAGAAAGACAATTCACTGACGAAAGCAGCAAAGAATCGGACTCCTCGCCTCTCGATTCACGAATGTCTGGAATCGGAAACTTTCTCAGTCTTGGAATGAAAATGCGCGGCGCCGCCGCTCAAGATGGCACGTGAGGTATTCAACATTGCTCGTCCATATACGGGGTGCTCAGAAACAATACCCATTTCGATTGAAGTCAATGTTTTTCGGCAAAGAAGATTCCTTCGGATGCTACTCTTTTTATATTTTTCTTCATTTTATACAGCTAATGTTTACATTACTTTTTTCCAAATTCTTGGTTTTATTTAATGGTCTAGCATGAGTAAAATTGTTTGAAAAATGTTACCTTTCACGCGTGAAAAAAAAATTTCAAAAAATAGTCCTGCTTAATTGAAGAATTTTGTAAGGATTAGGAGAAAATCCATTGGAATCACACAAATAAATTAATTACCAATATAAATACTTTGGCAGTTAACTATATACGACATAAATTTAAAAAATCTGTTAAAGAAAAGTCCATTTTATTATCTAAATGATTTGTTTTTTATTTAATTAGCTAAAATTATTTCAGAGACTTCTACTTTTACTTAGAAACTATTCATGTTTGATGATTTTTATGAAAAAACGATCGACTTCAAATTATTCGAAGAATCCGTGAGCAAAGTCGGTTGCTATCATTTGTTGAGCACCCTGCATATACAGCGCATAAGATACCTGATATCACCGCGTAGAGGGGCAAAATAATTAACTGTGATCGAGAATCGTAGTTGTTAACATCA